GAAGCCCCCAAGCCACCGACTTTCTTCCCCCTTGAAAAGCCGGTGAGATCTTGATGAAATTCCTTCCTTTTCTTGTTGAATCACAAGATTTAGGACCTAGAATCTTCCCTCTCAACCCAGAAAAATCCCGGTTCTGCTCTGCTCTTCTCCCCTGCAGTCGGCAAGAGCCCCAGCTACCGCCACCCATTTCCAGCCGGAAACACTGGCCAAGCTTGGGGATTTCTCCCTATTTTCTTGTTCTAGAACAGCCATTAAACCCAGAATTTCCAGATCTGTTTTGTTTTGCGTCTTCCTCCCTTTGTTGCCCGCCGGCTGCTATGTGGGTGTGAGGTTTTTGGGCTTTTTCTGGTAAGATCTAGCCATGAATCCCTCTCTTTAACCTTGATTTAGGTTGGGTTTACTTTAATTGCCTTATTCCCTTCCAATTTCTGGTAGAGCCGTCAGTCCCTTGCAGAAAATTCCCGCCGGCCTCTTCCCCCTGCAGCTTCGGTTCTTGCTGGAAAATTCTGGTAAGTTGTCGGCTTTTCCAAGCTTAAAATTACCCATTTAATTGTTGGGTTTTGTCCACTAAGTGCTGCCCTGTGCTTGTCCGAATTTTGTTGGAAAATGGGGGAATTCCGGTAGCATTTAAATGTGTTTTTGTGCCTGGTTTATGTAGAATTAGCTTAATTGGGCTGTTGTGATGTTGTGTAGGAGTAATCCCGTGACTTAGCCATTGTTGGCCAAAGCCGTGGGTCTCCATTGCTTGTCCAGGAAATAGGAATGAATTTTGGTAGCTTTAAACTATGTTTTTAAGTGTGGGTTAAGTAGAAAATTAGCTTGTTATGATTGTTGTGAGATTTTGGAGAGAAAACCCCGTGAATTAGCTATGTTTTGCCAATTTTGGAAGTTGAGGTTACTGTTCACGGTTGTGTTCACGGGGGCACTGTTCACGGGCACTGTTCACACACCGAGGGTCAACGATTAACGGGGATTTAAATGATTAGTTTGTGATATAAGAATAAATGTGGAGATTGATAGAAATAGCACTGTGACCAGATGATTTCACTGTAAAATTGTGGTGGTATGGTTATTAATTGTGGAATATTGTGATTAGGTTTTGATCATTCTGTCACCGTAGCACTTGGGTTAGCCTTTTGTTTTGTGCGAGTGAGGTAAGTAAATCATGGTAAAGCCCTTCGATTTTAAAGCATGTTTTAAACTGTTTTTGAGATGGTGGCAAGGTTTAACTTGATTTTTAATTGATTTTATCTACATCTGAGTGTGATTAAACTAAAATGAGAATTTTGATGATTTTCATGAAAATTACTGTTTTTCTGGAATTGAGCATGATTGAAATGAAAAGTGAGAATTTCATTGTTTTTCTGGAGTTATTGCACTGAGCATGATTGGTTTGAAATGAAACTGTTTTCATTGGTATTGAGTAGAGCATGCCTATTTGGAATTGACTGAACTGTTTTGATGAACTGAGAGTTTACAAATTCTGAGTTTTCTGATAAATCCATGCCCACATGGAAATTTTCCGGTTTGTTCTGAAATTTGGGATTGATTGTGAAATTCGGGTTTTCTGTAAACTCTGCATGGTTTTGTCTCGGATATAGTCATGATTACTGATTACTGTGCCTGCTAGTGGGAGGTTTATAAACGCTAGCACATGTCGACATGTTTACTGATAGAACCGGTTCACCCTACCAATGGGGTTAAACATTGGTAATTATTGTCGCCTGCCAGTGGGAGTTGTAAACACTGGCACCATTACTGACGCCTGCCAGTGGGAGTTGTTAAACATTGGCACTTCTGTAACCTTGCCTATGGGGTTAAACATTGGCAACTACTGTGCCCGCTAGTGGGAAGTTTATAAACGCTGGCCATGACTTATAGATGAGACTACTGAACTGAGTTTTATTCTGCATGAACGGTTTGTCATGAAGGCTTTGATATTGAACTGAATCTGATTCTGCAGTAACGATTTTGTCATTGAACGTTTTGCTATTGAACTGAACTTGATTTCCGCATTAACGGTTTATCAGTGAAAGTTTTGCTATGTTTACATGATTTATCTGGCATGTTAAAAGTTTTACCCAAGGGCTATCCATATTTACTTACTGAGTTATCTCATAGTTTTCCTTGTCCACCATTTCAGAAAGCGATACCGAGGACGGGGAAATCGAGGGGAGTGACGAGTTAGAAGGGTAGCCATTTCGAGATTGGTATAGATTTAGAAATAAATCATGTGCTTGCAAGCTAGAGTGTATTGGAAATTTTATGATATCAGAGCAGACTGTAAAATTTTATCTTGAGATTTCGTGGTATCAGATTGTGAGTTGAATAAGTTCCGAGCCTTGTGCACTTGTGGGACCCGTCTCACGAGTGCACGGCGTCTGTCGCGTCCCCGGATTTGGGTTCTGGGGCGTGACAAGTGCACTAAAGGTACAAAGAAAGTTAAATATCCATTACCCAGGTAAATTAATGATAACAAAATTGATATTATACTTCAAAATAGTTTATGTTATTTTTTAGAAAATAAATGAATTAATTTTTCTCTCTACTTGAAATCCAAGGTATCGTTTGGAATTAGTGGTTGGTGATAGTACTGGAGAGACAATCATTGTTCTTTTTTATGATATTGGCTTTGAACTACTATAGCTTAGTGCTGCAGAAGTAGTTGATAAACATATCGTTGTAAGTGTTTTATTAATTAATAAAATATATAAATATATTGAATTTGATAAATGATGCATGCAATTAATTTTTTGATGTGTGTAGAATAATGATGAAGAATATCAACTTCCTCTAGCATTGTTGAATTTGTTAAATAGTACTCATGTATTTCAATTAAAGGCAAACAATTTCAGAAAAACTCGTAGAGTTGAGTCTTTTATTGTTAACAAAATAGGAACTAATTCAAAGGTAAAGTATATTTTTTTAAATAGTAAAATATGGTTTATGTGTTTTATTAACTAAGACTTAATCATTTACTTTTTTATTGTAGAAACACGAAAATACCACTTTAAATGATAATCCTACAATTAATTTGGGAACATCAAATGCAATTAGTCAAGTATCAGATTCATCAAGTAAAAGTCTAACAAATATGCATGAGGAAGCAAAGTTTGAAAAGAGCTTGATAAAGAAAAGGTATATCTATCATCATTCTTTAGGATACATTAATATTTTAATAATAATTTAGAGATAAAACATAATAAAAAAACAAAAATAAAAAATAAAATAAAATGATGTGTGGGTTGTGTGGTAATGCGGTGGAAACAAGGAATCATTTATTTTGTTGCCCGTGCGTTGCATGGGTTACTTTTAAATTTTATATTAGAAGAATTTTAAACTATTTTTTGCCAAGGAATTTGAATAGACTATTTTAGACTATTTTCTTGTTGCTCGGGTGTTTTCTTTTGTGTTTTTTAAAAAGTTTTAATTAAAAATTATTGAGAAATAAAAAAACATATATAACCACAAATATAATTTAATACCACAGTAATGATGATGATTAAAAATAAAGAGCTACTATTTCTAACCTATCCTATAATAATAATTTAATTTAATTTCGGAGATACATTTGCATAATTCCTATTTAAGCTCACCCCTACTCCATTCTCCATGCAAACTTTTGATAAAGGAATTTGAGTTGATGTACATTTTCAAAAAGGTATATTACATTTGATACTAGGTATTAGACACTTATTTCATTTTTTTTTCAATTACATTATTTATACAATATTTCACAGTTTTTAATTATATGTTTTCTTTGTTTGAAGCAAAAACCAAAACTTACAAGAATTCAGATGAGATTTGTAAGGCATCCTCTGATACAGCTGATCAGTACATGATGTACCCAATAGAATTCCTAAACACACTAACATTTCCGAGAATGCCAAATCATTGCCTAAAGTTGAAGAAAGGAATGCCAACTATGTTATTGAGAAATGTCAACCCAAGTTTAGGACTGTGCAATGGCACAAGAATAAAAATCACGTGGTTGGGAGAATGGGTCATTGAAGGCAAGATCATGACAGGAAACAAGATTAGCAAGAAGGTTTTAATACCAAGAATTACAATGACTTCACAACAATCGAAGTGCCTATTCATATTGAAGAGAAGACAATTTCCTTTAAGGCCGTGCTATGCAATGACAATCAATAAGAGTCAAGGACAGTCCTTAAAGCATGTTGGCCTATATCTACCAAATCCTGTTTTCAGCTATGGTCAATTATATGTAGCTACATCTAGAATGACATCTCCAATAGGTCTAAAGATTCTCATCGGCCATGATGAACAAGACCATGAAAGCTACACAAAAAACATTGTTTATTATGAAGCTTTTAATGATCTCCCACAAGTAACTATTAAATAATAGAAAGCTCTTAATGCCTCACCACAAGTCAATAACATGAATAAAACATAGCAAGATATTCAAATACCTTTTTATGAATATTTACTTCCTTTTTGTTACATCATTGATACTTCATAAATATAGTCTACCAGATAAAAAAATAAAAGCAATTAAAGATAAAAAAAAAAAAAAAAAAATAGTATTATATAAAATTTTACTTGATGCATTTAATAAGGTATACATTTAAGTAATTTTAAAAGAAAAAAAAAAAGGAAAGTCATGAAATTAAAAAATCTATATATATAGGAGGCATCACTTACACAAAATCTCAATCATTTGTCTTATATAAGACTTGTACGTAAGTGGATTTGTACTCATATATATACATATATAACATGCTACCCTATGTATTAGATCTAGTATGCATTTACTTAAAATATAATATAATATTTTATTTTATTTTATTTATTTCCTATCATTCTTTTCAAAATGTTTTCCTATAATATTTTATTAAAATAGGTGAACATATCGGTTTGTCTAATTATTTTTTAGCATGTTAATTAATTTTTTTAGTATATAAGAGGCAATGCTCTTTAAATAGTGTTTCCCTTTACATTGCATTACCATATGTATTAATTTCTCTTTGATGATGAAGAGGTAACACCATTTAAAATATATAGGAAATTGTTACCTATGTATTAATATTAAAAAAAAATGC